AAAAAAAACGTGGGAAGGGATGGCAGAGCCTCGACAGCAAGGATGAGGAAAGTTATGGGAAGGATAAGCAATATGAGGGGGACTCTGATAAACCGTCTAATGAGAGGGCAAAGAGCTATAAGAGGGAGTACAGTCCAATCCAAAAAGAAGAAGAGGAGTGGGTTGAAGAAGAGTCCCACCAGGATATTGACATTAGCAGTGAGGGAGAGATGAAAGAGATAATAAAATCAGAAGAAGAAGGGGCGGCCAATACCTGGTGATTCAAAGAAATAGTTCTCGAAGTGGAAGACGGAATTCAGACAGTTATACAGCAAATGGTCTAATCAATGATCCTATATAATACGGCATGACTGGATCATCCAGGCCAGGAAAAGGATGAGGATGGGCGAGCCGGTTATGCTGTTGAAGTTTTACAACGAGGGAACACTAGAATGACTCGTGAGAAAGAAGAAGGAGATTCATACCTATGACCTGGGCAGAAGAGTGTAAGGAGGCCAAGAGACGGGGGGCCAGTGGAAGCAGATGAACCGTGATAATAGGATTGTGTGCACGAGATGCACATTTGGTTGTACATAGCCCTCATTGGTTAGCTAAGACATTGCGGATGGACAATGATCGCTAGTTGCTACTTTGAGATGTTTAAGAAACAGTACTAGCCAAAGACCTCAATATGAGAACTGGGGGTGCACAACCTCGATTGGACCTAAGGAAGAGAAAATTGTTTTGTGGGAAAAATACTATTGCAAACACATTATACGGATGAAACACTGGTTCTCAGTTGGATGAATTATGACAAAGGTCTTGATAGAGGTTAAGGAACCTATGGGTAAAGGGGCATGCAAGTTCTCATTCCCTAGGAGTCTAATCTGACCAAGTCGTATCGAGTCTGGAATGACAAAAGTCGGAGGGTAAGAAAGAGTGAAGGCATAAATGGATTCAACTCTCTTGTAAATGGTTGAACGGTCGGTTGGGCTATCAGGCACGGATTGGACCTACCTGCCAGATGCAAGGTGGTACCTCAGTGATGATGTCTTTCTCGATATCGCGATAGCCAGGCTAAGTAGGAAGGATGGGGTAAGTTGTCATCAGGGGGAGGAATGATCACCCTTCCTTTTAGGCGCTGGTGGTCTACATCCTTCACTCAGTAAGCGGCAAGGTTTGCGTACCTCTGAGTGAGAATCCATTGTGCGATGGGGACATCACATTTGAGCGGGGGGGGAGATGAACCATCTACCTGATAAAAAAAACGTGCGACAAGTTATGGAAAAAAAAAACTCTGTAAGAAAGGATTAATGGGTAAAGGCAAAAACTTTTGTAAGATTGAGAAGCCTGACAGAATGATCAGAGGACTTGTATGAGAGATTGTCTGAGCCTGAACTTGAGAAGCCTAACAGAATGGTCAGAGGACTTGTATGAGAAATTGTCTGAGTTTGAACTTGAGAAACCTAGCAGAGGACTTGTATGAAAAATTATCTGAGTCTTAACTTGAGAAGCCTGGAAGAATGGTCAGAGGACTTGTACAAGAGATTGTCTGAGTCTGAACTTGAGAAGCCTGACAGAATTGCCAGAGGACTCGTATGGGAAATTGTTTGAGTCTGAACTTGAGAAGCCTAGTAGAATGGTCAAAGGACTTGTATTAAAAATTGTTCGAGACTGCACTTACAAAGCCTGACAAAATGGTGAGGGAAATTGCATAAGAAATTGCCTAAAGTCTGCGAAGCTTGGCAGAATGGTCAGAGGAATGGCATGAGAAATAGTCTAAGTTTGAGAAGTCTGAGAGAATGGTTAGAGGACTTGTAGAGAAAGTTGCCTAAGAATGAGTTCAAGAAACCTGACAAAATGGTCAACGGAATTGTATAAGAAATAACAAGATTACGCGCGTGAGAAACCTGATCGAATGGCTAGAGGACTTGCAGAGAAAGTTGTCTAAGAATAAGTTTGAGTAGCATGGCAAGTGGTAAGGGAAAATGTGTAGGACTGAGGGCGAGTCTAAGGACCCTAACGAAAGGACGAAAACAAATGCATAAGAAAAAGCGAGAGGTTGAACTAAAGAGATGAACATGGATGCAGCTTATGAATGAGCTTAAGAATTGGCCTAAGAATCGGGACTTGAAAAATGAGGTTTTACTATGACCAAAAATGAAACTGCAAAGATGAGAAGAAAAAGACCTAGAGAGAGAATGAGAGAGGTAGGAGAGTATGGGAGGGAAAAGGGGGCAAGGCGCCACATCATTGTTAACTTGCCCCGTTGCAAAAGATGTCTAAGTGCCTTGAACAAGACTACATCAATTCTAATGCAGTTGGGACTGAAACGGTAAAAAACGGACGCTTGGAGGCCAAGGAAAACATATGTTTAGATACATTTTGTGATAAAATTCACCTAAGGGTGAATCGGGCACAAATGAGGGGGAAAAGGAGAGTTCAGATACAATGAACTCAAAAGTAAAGCTCCTAGAAGCTTCCAACCCACAAACGGACAGGAACGGACACGCAGGAGAAAAGAAAGCACATGTTCTATGTGAATTTTGTGACCGGATTCATCATAGGATGAAACGGTTACAAAATACTTTAGTTTTTTTTTTTTTCTCTCTCATAAAATTAAGAAAATCAAAAGGGAAGTAGACAAAGATGCAACGGCTTACGGAAAGTAAAGCAAACACATATTTCAAGTACATCCGGAATCAATATTGAGTCTGGATGCACTTGGAAATGTGCCATCCCATTTTGTTTCAGTTTGAGGCAAGTTTGAGGGCAATGAGAATAGGAAAAAGACCGTCATTGCACTCTGAAATTTAACGGATTGCAAGGGAGTGTCAAGGTCATAGAAAACTAAACCTTGACAACCGCAAAACAGTAGAAAGGAGAGCCTCGAGCATAGGAGTTAATTGCGACAATGAATGTCGCCCGTGAGATCAAGATCATGCGGACAAGAATATTCGGCACACTCGGATGCATGAAAATGAGAAATTGAAGCTGTCAAGGATTAGAGAGCCCCAAGTAAAGATGAGACAATATGGACAAGGATGTCGGGAACTATGTGGGCACAAATAAAAATAATAAAAAACTAGGACTGGGACCGACGGAACCATCGGTGAGACTAGTATGGGATAAGTGTTAAGGACTTGGGTTGTCTTGAGAAGATTGTGGGACATGAAAAATGAATAAACAAAGAGAGATGCGTCTTCAAAATCTAGATCTACCAGCCGTGCAAAGTAACACTAATAATGCAAGCATTAGTAGGGTCAAAATGGAAAACTTCCGGAGACAAAGGAGGAAAGAAATGAGGTAGGGGGGCCGAGATTGTAGTCTGAGATATCTCGGACCAGCCAAGATAAAGAGACTAAAGCCTTGAGATACTCTATTTAAGAAATGAACTAAAAAGGACGAATCAGAGGAAACGAGGCTGCATTTTCGCGCTAAGAGAGACAAAATGAGCTCTCGTGAGTATGGGGATGCCATTATTGTAGTATGAGAAATAACGTACTGCTCCTAGACCTGGATCTAGATCTAGATCAAGATATGAGACCTAGAAAATGTGTCAACAACTAGTTGCCACTTGTCATGTCAAAAAAAAAAAAAAAGTGAGAAACATGAGAGTGAGGGAGACAAAAGAGGAGTTGGAGGGAGTGAGTTGGCCGTCAATAGGGACTGACACCGTAGGGACTAACATGTCCTTACTGTCCAGATTTAATAAAAAAAGAGAAAAAAAAAAAAAAAGAGGAAAAAGAGGGGAAAAAAAAAACGCTAAGGATAAAAAACAGTCACCTAGGAAGAAAGCAAGCACATGTTCTAAGTACATTTTGTGACCGAATAATCAAGAAAAACTAAAATATTTTGATTCTTCCTAGGATGAATCAGTTTATAAAATATCTTTGTTTTTTTTTGTTTTTTCTCAAAAAAAAAAAAAAATCAAGAGGGAGGTGGTCCGTGATGCAACATACCACAAAAAGTAAAGCAAACATATGTTTCAAGTACATCCAGAGGCAACATTGAGTCACGATGCACTTGAAAATGCGTCGCCTCATTTTGTTTCAGTTTGGGGCAATTTTGGGGGCAATGAGAATAAAAAAATAACCACCACTGCACACCGAGAATTAATGAACTGCATTGTGGTGTAGGGGCCAAGGGAAAAATAAGCCTCGTCACACTCAAGATACTAGAGAAAGGTGTCTCAAGCATGGAGCAAGTAGGGACGACAAATGAAAACCGTGAGATGGAGATCTAGCAGTCAGGAATATTTATCACAATTGAGACACTTGGGAAGGGGGAATTGAGATTGACGAGGACTAGGGAGTCCCAAATAAAAATAAGATAACGTGGGGGATAATGTCGTGGACTATATAAACCCAAATAAAATAATCAATGATCGGGACCTATTCCGGCGGAACTACCGGTGGGACCAACGGAGGAACTAGTGTAGGATAAGTAACGGGGACGTGAGTTGTACCAATGGAATTGTGGACCGACATGAGGAATGGACAATCAAAGTAAGATGCATCATGTAAATCAAGATCTAGCTGTGGAAAATATTATGACTACTAGTGCAAGCACTAGTAGAGTCAAGGTGACGAAGTTTCATAGGCAAAAAAAAATAAAAAAAATGAGGAAGGAGGGTTTGTATGGCAGTCCGAGATATCTTGGACTAACCAAGCAAGAAAAAATAGATCCATGAGGGACTCTATACAGCAAAAAGGCTGCCAAGGAAAAATCAGAGCAAGGGGGGCCGCATATTGAGTGTAACGAAGACAAAATTGAGCCCGAATGAGTATGAGGGGGTGCCATTATTGTAATCCGAGAAATAACAAACAACAACTTGATCTAGATCTAGAACTTGATCTAGATCTAGATCTATATCAAGATTTATGGCCAAAAGATTTGATCGAGTACTGCATGTGTTCTACACAGAGTGTATTCTGATTTTACTTCTCCTGTGAAATATCATCCTAATCATTACAGCGCATGTGAACTTGCATGGGGACGACTACCGGGTTGAAGTGAGCGTGTTTTCAGCCATCTCGTTTGACTCATTTGTTTGGTCACTACTTGTTGCTACTGCATCAGTAAGGCAACTTCAAGTGTTCGAAGCTCATGAAAAACGTAGCGAAGTTTACTTCTGAGTGAGCGTGATTACCATTATCGTTGTTCTGCTTGACTCAAGCATGTCCAACCACGAACGGGGGGACGACAACAAAGGTTTCGGAGATGGAGATCGACGTCAATATAGAGCACCGACATGTTTTAACTGCCATGAGCAAGGGCACTATGCCAATCAGTGTCCACATCGCGATCGACGACAATATCTAAGTCGGCCGTCGACGTCCACGGACTCCAGGAGATCGCGTTCCCCGCGAAGATTCGAGCACAGGAGGTACGTGTCTCCACCACGGCAGGAAGCGGAGCTGCGTGGTAAATTGGCTGCGCTATCACAAGGCGTAGCGGAGATGAAGAAACATTTCAATGCGGAGAAAGCGAGAAAAGAGGCGAAAGAGCGAAGAAAGCTGGACAAGGAAAGAAGAAAAGAAGAAGAGAGACGGATAGCTGAGGAGGAGGAAAAACGAAAGATAGAAGAGGAAGCAAGGCGCGAGGAGAAGAAACGTAAGAAAGTGGAGAAAGCTAAACGTGAAGCCATACTACGAGCGGAGATGAAGAAGGAAGTGACATTTCACGCCACCTTGTAGATGGGTGAAATTAAGGATGACTGGATCAAGCAGATGAAGTGGTCAATGATACCGACGCTAATGGCCGGGAAGCAGGATGTTAAGAGAAATAAGAAACTGGAGTCAGGGCATGGAGCGGGGTCGTTTTCTTCTTCTACCGACAGCAGCGATGATGGGAGCGAAGCGAGTGTGACTCAAGAACTCATTGAAAAGACTCGGCAGCTGTGCATCTCCGAGAAGCAAAAGCGTGAAGCGGACGTGGTCCTCGAAGGAAGCCCACCGATGGAGATGCCAGCTAAGCGGACTCCGAGGAAGGTCGCCAGACCGATGCTACCTACGGAGCGGTTGACAAGATCTAAGGCCAGGAAGAAGGTGGGATGCATCATGGTACGAGCTAAGAGGAAATCTCAAGTGAAGACCCCGCTCGACAAAGTAGTCAAATCTGGCAAGAAGGCATCACCAGATTCACCACCAAGCGGCCGCATCACTCCGGTCAGTAAAGTTGTACTGAGGTTGCGCTACCGTGACGCCGTCATGCGAGAACTGAAAGACAGCAACGAGGATGAATTCCAAAGAATCTGCCGAGAAGAGGGTTTGCACTACGAGGGTAAGATCGATGCGATTTTCGATATCGCTGAGTATCGCTCCAGGCGTCAGTTTCCTGAGGGCAACCAAGCGATTGAGGGAATCCCCATATCTGTTTCAAATGACACTGAAGCTGTTGAAACCCCAGCCAATGACCTCGAGTGATGTGGGTTTGATCCTGATTGATTGTGGGGATTGTGCAGATATGTTACGAGTGTTCGGTGTAGTGCCAAGATTGTTGACCGAAAACTAGAAAGACTACTTCGTCTGACTATCATTCTTCTAGCTTTGACCGGACGCGTTAGGTGGTTGCAGAAGTGCGTGGACCAATGGCTGGTATTGTACGAGGTGCATGGGATAGGATTTTTGGGATTGAGTAACATGGTCTACATAGTTGTCTCCCCCGTATTGTAAGTCATATTATATAGGGAAGACGACACGTGACTGCACCACGCGTTGGCGTGAACATTTATACGTTGTCCGTCGCCGCACGCAATCGCACTTTCGTCGCTGGATCGCTTCATTCGGTACGGGGAACTATGTGCTTATTCTAGTAGACTATATCGAGGGTAATGAACTGGGTAAACTAGAAGAATTGTATATCAATCGGTGGTCACCTTTCCTTAATACCACGGGAGTGAAAAATAAACTAAAGAGGTCAGGGAGAAGGAAGAACTTGGGGAAGAACGAGAGGAATTAGTGCAAGGGTAAGTCGGATAGTCTCTCTGGAGCCCTCCCTGTAACACCTATTCGATTCCATCGAGTATCTGACAACTCTAGTTTCTTGGATCTCCACTCTTTTCTGGACACTGACAACCTTAGCTGTGTGATACGATCCGATGGTGGAAAGGACTGGACCCCGAGTTGGAAGAAGTTGTCGAGAGTGTTTGGGGACTATAAATTTTTGTATCTTTCGCGTACGATTACCCTGAAGGAATGCAAAGGCTTGTTTGAAAGGGGTGGTGTATTTCGGATCCTGCATGTGGTTAAGTGAAAATCTCGTTGCAAGTACCTCAAGACGTTTTTGGTGGGTATCCTGCGTAACCCGAACAAACTGAATGAATTATATCGTTGGGATATGAAATCGATACTACGAATCTATCGTGTGATCAAAGATTTTTTAAGGAATTCGACGAGAAAGTATCTTCATAGGTTGGTTTCTCGATGTTTCCGAGAACATTTTGGACTCACTGGAACGTTTTGGACTCAGTCTGTCCTCAGACCTTACATTTCGAGTCAAATTTGACGATAGGCTTGTTACGTCAGAATTCAGGAAAGTTGCAAATGATGCCTTGTCTTTGTGTGAGTTACCACAGAGCTTCATGCTCCGAGCACATAGGAAACTTCGCATCGTTGGGACTAAGAATCCAACGATAGCCGACATCTTGCACAATCATCGTAATTCATCAACACGATGTGTGTTTACCTGTTGTTGCACAAATATGGAATTCCCACGCATGAATGGGCATGTATTATTTCGGTTGAGTGAAGTAGCTGGTTTGCACCCACTCCTACTGAACGCGAATAATATTTCGAAAATTAAGGCCATTGATAGGCTCCATTTGCTTCGGCAGGAACTGGTTGAGGGCTTCCGCAGCTGGAAGAATTTGAATGGTAATATACCAGATTGCTCCAACATGGATCTCTCGTCATGCCTTACGTCTAGCAATGACCCTTGTCTGAACATCTCGACTGATGAAGTACTTGCCTTAAAATCTCGTCCGGGTGATCTAGTCATTTCTGCAGTCGATCGGAACTCTGGGGAATCAGTGGCTATGTGCCTTGCTGTGTATTTCGATGCTATGATGAAAACCTTTGTTTGTAACCCTGGATATCGAGTTGTTAATTACTCTGAGACCGAAGTACTGAGGGAAGTACGTGAGGACATAAGCCACCGGAATCTTCGTAAATTTGTGTGTTGGAATCAGGAGGGCAAGTTTAGCTCGGCTTACGTGATCCTTAAACATAAGAATCTTAGTTGTTACCGCCCAATTTGCCCCTCTTTCGGTGAACCGACTGTGCGAACAGCACGCATCGTAGCAAAAAGCCTGAATCATTTGCTCTACTCACTACCTAAATGATGACACTTTAATTTACGAGCAGTATCGGATCTGACCACTCAGTTGGACGTGATTAACAATAAGTTGGGTAAACTAGGGAAGGATCGACTGATTACTTCCTACACCTTCGACATCAAGGAGATGTTCAACAAACTTCCACATGATGAGATTCTGCGAGCTGTCGACTGGATCATTGACTATCACGTCAACAAAGGCCATGAGTTCGTGCGAGTCAACTCGCGGGGGAAGGGTACTTCCTTCAGCGTTGCAACATGCATCTCAAGGATATTTTGAGTTTTGTGCATTTGGAAATTGAGCACGCCTATTTCTATGCAACAGGAGTACTCCTCAAACAGGAAGTGGGTGTCTCTATGGGAAAAAGCATGAGTCCACCCATTGCATGTATTATGTGTGCCTACTCAGAATATCGGTTAACCTGTTCACTTGGACGTGTCAGTCGATGTTTGAGTGTGATGAGATTAATTGACGATGTTTTGTTACTTATCTCAAGTAGAGACGAGACAACGAGATCGTTTATCTTTGACTCTTTCGTCAAATGCTACCCCAGCAATTTGACTTTGAAACGCACCGACAACGGCACGGGAACACTAAATTTCCTTGGGTGCCAAATTCGCATGTAGCAATGTGATCCGTTTCTGGGAAGCATTCAGATGTCTAGGAATAAGGACAACATTTGGACAAAGGGGGATTTGCTCATCAAGAATGGACAGTCATTTCGATCATGGGGAAGTAAGAAGCAAAAGAGTGCTATGATAGGAAGTCATTTGCATCGAGTTGATCGAAATACTTCGATCCGATCTGAAATTCTGGGGAAGGTGTTTGGGCTGCAGCAGGAATTGGTTAAGAAAGATTTCCCTATAAAGTTTGTGAATCGAGTGTTCCGTAGATTTGCTTGCAGACGTGATAACTTGTGGCAATAAATGGTTGCTTTTGTTTGTTGTCCTTATCGGAGTTAATGATTGTAGTACAATTCTGGTACCTTTGTAGCGCTATTAGTCGTTACCCACAAGCTTCACTTCTCAGTTGAATAAAATAGTGGACAGGGTCATTGTGTTAGAATTTAACAGGGTTTTTTGCTGAGCCTTTTATTATTGAGCTTGGTTTGTTCTTTCTATTTGGACTGAATGTGGACGCCCTTTGTCTTTTCGGGTCAGGTATTAGTTTGTTTTTTGGTTTTGTTTTTAGCTTTGAGCCTTATACCAGACTCTGGTAGCTTGCTACGATTATTTTGACCACTGGGTTGGTTTGGGTTATGGTACCTGGGCCCCCCGACCTCAGGGAGGCGGACGGACCCACGCGAGTTTTGGACTATAAATAGATGGACGTAAGACGTAGTACGCCCTCTCAGGTACCGTGGTCGGCCGGTCTGTAGACCATCACCGCGGATGTGTATGTGGTTTGATGGTGGTTCTTGGGTTTGTTGGAATGATTCAGTGGAACCTGATACAATGTTCGTGTCCATTGTCTACTTGTCACCCCAGGTGACTGTGTGAGATTTGATCGAGTACTGCATGTGTTCTACACAGAGTGTATTCTGATCTAACTTCTCCTGTGACATATCATCCTACTAGAAGAAAAAGTCTACAAAGGAGGAGGGATGAGACAAAGCGGGAGAAAAAGGCGGAGAGAAAATGGTTGGTCTGTTAGTACTGACACAGTAAGGAATTACATGTCTCTATTATGACCTCATCACTCCGGATTTACTGGAGGTCAATCCAGAGTGAGGAGATAAGACCTTTGGGGCAATATCTTGATAAAATTAAAATTAAAAAGAGAAAAATAAGATAAAAACAAAAGATAGTTGACCGATTTTCTTTTGGGTCATATTCTAATGTATGGAAGAGAAGATATGACCGTTTTTTGTAGTGTCAACTCAAACGGTCAACTTTGAAATGAGTTGGTAACTCAAAATAGAGGGGGAAAAAAAAAAAAAAAAAAACCAGAATTGTGCATGTGGCAAAAAATTGAGGCCATATGCACCCGAAATTGAAAAGGAGAGTCATGGGGCTCAAATCGAAAGCAAGGGTCACTTGTGGGTAGCTCAGATTAATCTTGGTCTTGGATCTCAAACATATCCAAGGAAGAAAATGCTACGAGATACAAGGAGGTACCTCAACCCATTCAAATTGAAGTAGGACTAAAGAAAATCGAAGAAAAGACCCACAAGGCATTTTATTTTCAACCAAGGCTGCCCCTTGAATATTCGAAACCATGAGGCAGCAACTCAAGATGAAAATGAGGCCTAGGATGACCACAAAGGTAGGCCGAGCTGGTACCAACCACTCGGACTGCAGGTAACTGGCGAAAATAAGATTCATATGCTTCAGGAAAGACTTTCTAGCGAAAGCATGCCTTACGGGTATCTTGGGGTTTGGTTCACCTTGGGCACTTAGGAGAGGCCAAAGGGCTGGTCGGAGTGTGCCAGCCTATTTAAGTTGGGGGAGCAGTTCACCACACACACATTTGTACGAGGCAAGTACGTGATCTCCAAATGAGCTCAAGAGAGCACGAGACTCAACCGGAGTGAGAGGAGGGAAATCGTTGTCAGTAAGAGAGCTTGGGGGAAATTGTACGATAGTGGAAGCAGGTACAAACGTTGGTAGAAGTAGTGTTGGCATAGGGGAGTGTTCCGCCATAAACCCCAACCTTTGAGGAAGAGGGTTAGAGAAAGTCCCCTTAGCCCTCCTAGAGAAGGGGATTGCATAACCTTAGTAATAGGAGTTCACCTTAGTCAGAGAGAGATTGAGAAAGGGAGGATGAGAAAGGCTTAACGAGGAAGGAAACCATAGCCGAAGGACAAGTGTACAAAGAAAGAGAAAGTTTCATCAAGGTTGACATCTCAAGGTCAAGACTGTAGAGGAGATGAGTCGGAAAAAAAAAGGTGCTCCCTTTCTTCATCACTTTTTTTTAACCTTAGTAATAGGAGTTCACCTTAGTCAGAGAGAGATTGAGGAAGGGCGGATGAGAAAGGCTTAACGAGGAAGGAAGCCATAGTCGAAGGACAAGTGTGCAAAGAAAGAGAAAGTTTCATCAAGGTTGACATCTCAAGGTCAAGACTGTAGAGGAGATGAGTCGAAAAAAAAAATGTGCTCCTTTTCTTCATTACTTTTTCTTTTTTTTTCCCTTACTTTTCTTCTTCTTCTTTCTTTTACTTTCTTCTTCTTTATCTTCTTCTCTTTCTTCTTCCTCTGCTTCTTCCTTATTCGTTTTCCTTTCCTCTTCTCCTTCTCCCCCTTCCCCTCTTCAGTTTATCCTTTTTCTCCCCCCCCCCTCCCTTATCTTCGTAACTAACATCCCAAGTATAACAAGAGTAAATAGTAGCACCCCCACTAGAGGTTGCCTCCATTTGGTTTATTTCCTTACACTCATGAAAATCATCAGTTTGATTTTTGCTTCTTCTAGTGTTGTGAACTTCCTTCTATCTTGTTTCGTCTATTTTTTCACTCAAATGTAAATCGCAACTTTGGGTTTTGCCTAACCTTGTGTGAGTATTTTGTCATCTTTCCTTCATGTTTTTACCATCTTCCACATTGGTGTAAATCCCCTTTTTGATTTTTGCTTCTTCTATTGTTATGAGTTTCCTTCTCTCTTATTTTGTGTATTTTTTCACTCCAATGTAAATCATAACTTTGTTCACTAGTCTCGGGTGAGTGTTTTGTTATTGTTTTCTCCATGTTTTGTTTCATTTTTCGCTTGGGTGTAAATGGTCACATTGATTCTTGCTTTTTCTAGTATTTTGAACTTTCTTTTCTCGTGCTTTGTTTATTTTTTCACTCCCATATAAATCTTAATTTAAGGTTTTTCCTTCACTAGCCTTGGGTGAGTGGTTTGTCATATTTTCCTCCATATTTTTACACATCTTCCACTAGGGTGTAAATCGTCATTTTGATTTTTGTTTCTTCTAGTGTTGTGAGTTTTATTTTATTTTGTTTTGTTTATTTATTCACTCCACCGCAAATCGAGACTTCGATTGTTGCCTCCACTAACCTTGAATGAGTGTTTTGTCATCGTTTCCTTCATGTTTTATCCCATCTTCCACTTGATGTAAATTGTCACTTTGATTATTGCTTCTTCTAGTGTTGTGAGTTTCCTTCTCTCTTGTTTTGTCTATTTCTTTGCCTCCATGTAAATCACAACTTTGTTTTTTGCTTCATTAGCCTTGGGTTAGTATTTTGTCATATTTTCCTTCATGTTTTATTCCATAAATGGTCACTTTGATTCTTGCTTCTTCTAGTATTGTGAGTTTCGTTCTCTCTTGTTTTGTTCATTTCTTCACGCGATTATAAATCACAACTTTGAGTTTTGCCTTCACTAGCCTTAGGTGATTTTTTTGTCATATTTTCCTCCATGTTTTGTCTCAATTTTAACTTGGGTGTAAATCGTCAATTTGATTCTTGTTTCTTGTAGTGTTGAGATTCCTTCTCAATTTTTTTTCTAATTATTCACTCCAATGTAAATCGCAACTTTGGTTTTTTGTCTTCACTAGTTTTTTGTGAGTGTTTTGTCGTATTTTTCGTCATGTTTTGTTTCATCTTTCACTTTGGTGTAAATCGCCACTTTGATTATTGCGTGTTCTAGTATTGTGAGTTCCCTTCTCTCTTGCATACTATATGTCTTCACTCCAATATAAATCGCAACTTTGGGTTTTGCCTTCATTAGACTTGGGGGAGTGTTTTGTCATATTTTCCTCCATGTTTTGTTTCATCTTTCAATTGGGTGTAAATTGTCACTTTCATTATTGCTTCTTTTAGTATCGTGAGCTTCACTCTCTCTTGTTTTGTCAATTTCTTCACTCGAAAGTAAATCGTAACTTTGGGTTTTGCCTTCACTAGCCTTGGGTGAGTGTTTTGTCATTATTTCCTTTCGTCTCATCTTTCACTTGGGTGTAAATTGTCGCATTGATTTTGCTTCTTTTAGTAACGTGAGTTCTCTTTTCTTTTGTTTTATTTATTTCTCCACTCTAATATAAATCGTAACTTTGGGTTTTGCCTTCACTAGCCTTGGGTGAGTGCTTTGTCATTTTTTTCCTCCACATTTTGTTCCATTTTCCACTTGGGTGTAAATCATGACTTTAATTATTGCTTCTTCTAGTGTTGTGTGCTTACTTTTTTTTTATTTTATCTATTTCTCCACTCTCATAAAACTTGTTACTTTGGTTATTGGTTCAACTAACCATGTGCATATGTTTTCGCATTTTTTCTTCAAAGTCACGTTAATCTTACACTTGGTAGTGTTCCGCTTCACTCTTGGGTGCTTCCACTAGTCATGTGCATGTGCCTTGTCAAGTTTCTTTCATGCTTTTTCTCAATCTTCCACTTGGTAGTGTTCCGCTTTACTTTAGGATGCTTCCAATAGTCTTGTGCATCTGCCTTGTCAAATTTCTCTCATACATTTCATCAATTTTCCACTTGGTAGTGTTCCGCTTTACTCTTGGGCGCTTCCACTACTCATGTGAATGTGCCTTATCAAGTTTTTCATGTTTTCGTCAGTCTTTCACTAGGTAGTGTTCCGCTTCACTTTTGGGTGTTTCCATTAGTCATGTGAGTGTGCCTTGTCAGACTTCTCTCATGTTTTCGTCAATCTTCGCTTAGTAGTGTTCCGCTTCACTCTTGGGTACTTCCGCTAGTCATGCGCATGTGCCTTATCAAGTTTTTATCATGTTTTCGTCAATCTTTCACTTGGTAGTGTTCCGCTATCGAGCGCATCGGCCCCCGCGCGAGCGAGGGCCCTCCCGGCCATGTCACGCAGGAGTTCAAACGAAAAACTTAACCAATATAGAGACAACTTGAGAACGACGCATAAGTAATCCCGCGAGTCGCCGAGACGGTCACGGTTGCGTCGTCCCTTCGCCGCTCTAGCCGGGTGCGCCAGCTGTACATCCCGCGGTTCCCTACGACAAGACAGGTTCCCGCGGGGCATAAGCTTACTTCCCTAAGGGGCTGTCACCACCCTTAGGGGCGTATCCCTACCGAGCTGCCGACCCACGTGCGAAAGTTTTTAAATGCAGTTGCAGAGGTGGGTCAACCGTGGGCGTTTTGCTCGCTCGCTGTAGTATAGGTATGCGCAATTAAACGCCTATTGAACCTGGACGTCGTCCGTTCCTTAGGGCGCTGATCTCCTAAGTACGAAACATACGCCAATCTACTAGGAAAGTCTCAACCTAGTGTGAAAACCCCAATATCCTAGTCCCTTTGGTCACCGGTTAAAAAGAAAAACATAACAACCACTAATTATAAAAAAAGATCAACCGAAGTCGACATAAACATATATCCAAGCGGGAATGATAACCGAATGAATCTAGATAATTATTAGATACATCCAATAACACAACATCAAAATAAAATCCGACCACCCTGTGGGTCGAATTCCACAAAAATCATACAGCCGCCAACGGAGAGTTGACTTTCAACAATAACCTCAATGCAGCCGACAAGGTAGTCGTTTTGTCTTAGTTTTGACTTGATGAGATGCGCTGCCAAAGTTACTCATTTCATCCTACTCCCGACCTAAGATTAGACATGCATACACTTGTCGCCTTACGTTCCTAATCTTTTCAATGACAGACTGCTTTGCGGATGATTCTTTATCAGGTGCATTGCTTGAGGTGTTGCATGCCTCACCCTCTAGGAAGTGGTCTGGGGTGATTGATTGATTGATTTATTTATTTATTGATTGATTGATTGATTTGTCGCTAGAACATGGTGATATAGACCGCCGTTTTATTTTTTTATTTCAATTCGTTTTCTTTTATTTTTTCTCTTATTCTTTGTACTCCGAAAAAGCATGAGTGTACTGGACTGTTTCGTTGGACTTTCTTTGACACACACACACACACACACACACACACACACACACACACACACACACACACACACACACACACACACACACACA